AATGACTCCCAATACCTGTGCGAGTTTCTGTTCTTCAGCACTGAAAAACAGAATAGGAGAAATGTGTTTTTCACCCTATTAGCTTCTGTTCAGCATCTTAGAGAATGGTATAATAAGAAACACCTGAGGAGAGATCAATATTTTCTTGAATCAATGTTCTTTATTCATAGGAATGGGTCCTGATTAATAGATTTGTTAGCAAAATGAGATAAAAACAATTTAAATTGGGGGAAAAAAAGAGCCTAATGAGGGCTGAAGCCTATATGAAAGAAGAATGTGAGACTAATACCAAACCGAAAACCAGTTCCCCAACAGCTGCTCTGACCTTGCTAAAGTTTTGTGTGCATGGAAAAGAACAATGGAAAGAGAATGGCTCATTCTCTGAAGTTGACTCCCCAAGGTAAAATAATCAGATCAAAGCAGGACAGTCATGGCAGCATATAAAAGGAATTGTTCAGCTGAAATATTATGAGAATATCAACTGTTCTGCTCCAATTTACAAACTAAAGAGCTTTATTCTTATTTCTTTGTGCTCATAAGAGTGTTGCAGAGTTGATTGTACAAGAATCTACACAGCAGTACTGGAATAATGAAATATGCAGTAACACCAAGTCAATAGGGCACCTGATACCTTCAGAATACAGTCCCTCCAGAAAATAAATGTTTTTCATAAATATTAAAGCATATACAGAATGCTCCTTTCCTACTCCACGTCAAATTCCATATGCTTCTCAGCCACAGATACTCATCTCAGCAAATGTTAAACAGAGAACTTGCACCTGAAGGAAGCAGAGGGGAACCTGGAGCATTGAGAGGGGCATAGAAGAATGAAGCTTAAAAATGATATGAGACAAAACTAGATTGTACATAAACTCCACTTGGTACCATGCTCCACATTAAAAGCTGGTTACACATTCGTGGTGGGAAATATTTTTATGCATATATTCTCACCAATTGGTGCTGTGCATCTTTTGTCTGCACCAGAGGTCTCTGCTGTCTACCCTCACTGTGTCCAGCAGTTCTAGGATGTAGAGGGGGCAGGGAATGAGCAAAAAAGACCCTCAGGGTAAGACCTTGGGGTCTTAAAAATCAAGGTCAAGGAAGATAAATTTGCCCTATGCAACTAGATAGAAGATTTATTTCAAGGTGTATACAGCTCACTGAAAGCCAAAGACAGGTCTAGAGGTTTACTTGTTGTCATTGCTTTTTAAAGGAACACGAATTAACTGTATTTAGAGTTAATCATGCAAGCTCTGTACACTGTCCTGAAAAGTGCAGCAGCTGTTGTCATGCAGTACAAATAGAGTCAATGTAGAGATGCACCAAGGTGTAAAAGTTGCAAATGGAGTGAGAGTCTTGAGCCTAATGTATAGGTAAGCACTTAGTCTCAGGTGCTCTTGGCAGGAGAAAAAGATGTAACACTTAGGCTTAAAACCAGAGTATTTACTCTTGTCTTTCGTCTACTCGTGGTGGTGAAGTGGCAAAACCAAACTGGTTATAATGCTTTCATCCATGCAGGCTAACCCTCTCTCTCTTCCAAAAGTTGTTATTTGTGTGCTAGAGAGCACACAAATATACACACAAATATACTTTCCAAATATATGCCACAGATATCAGGGAAACCAAGCCCCTTGTAAGGGTTCATCCCTTATCATCATTGAGCCCACTGTAGTATTTCATTCAGATGTCCCTTGCTCATAACTGCTACAAAACACAGCAAATTCTGAAGAACACAAAAATTAGACCATCATCTGAAATCACTGCTGTAATACAGAGTAGAAAGTTTGCTTTAAAGAGTATCTGTTTATGCAATTCACTTTTTCTCAAAGCTTTGTAGTTAGGTAAAGGCTCTTTTCGTCGCCTAAGTACATCCCAGTGAAACATCACAGTCTGCAGCTCGTCCTCTGTAACTCACCACTGTAACAAAAATGCTAACATGAATGACACAGTAAGCATGCAATCACTCACCACTGACACAAAGCCACCTCTGTCAGGCCAAGCTGGCTTACAAGGTATAAACTGGACCACCTTCTCATGCCACAGTATGAAATAGTAAGAAAAATTAAGGAAATATTTCAAGATTCAAACCCTTTTTTGATCACTTGCATAGCAAAATGCATCATTGTATACAGACAAGAGACAGTTCTTTTTACTCACTGATGCTCTCCTTGGCTGATGTACACATTTATGAAGGATACAGGCTTTATATCTGCTGTAGTGTAAACTTCCTATTCTGCCTGGAAGTGTGGAGTCATTAATCTTAACAATTCAACCAACCCACCTGAGGTTACATCTGGTCATGACTTCTAGGTAAATCTCGGAAGGTCAATTCCCAACTTTGGCAGTGCAATTTATTTACATATATATGATGAAAAATCAGTTCAAAAATTGAATGCAAAATAATAAATCATATAACCAGATACAACCATCCACCACAAATATAAACACACCAAGAAAAATCAGTGCAATACATTTTAAACAGAAATTATCCAAAAAGCACAGGACCCAACCACTTAAACTAAAGTCAGTTCTCATTACCAAAACTTATACTCTTATTTTGAGGGCCAGTCAGTAGAGATTGAGAGGATTGCAACTATTTGTTCTGGTCTCAGAATTAAGGCCCAGGTTTAGAAACCTTAAGATCTGGGGTCTGGTTTTGTCCAGCCTTAGACAATCATTCTGGGAGGTTCACACCTTGACTACATTGCAATTATCTTTGCAATTTTATGGGAAAAAATATAGGGGTTTCAGATTGCTATTGATTTTACAGGCATCTTTTGAAGGCCAAATCAATTCAACTGAGCAGGATGCTAAGCGCAAAAGTTGTTAAGTATCCTATCAGCTCTCTTTATCCATGCCTCAGTTTCTTGATGCTTTGGGGAAAAATATCATGATATTTTGGGGGAAAAAAAAAAGATTTTTTCGCTGTATACAGGAACTGAAGGAAGTTAAAATTACTGATAGCCAGAAAACATTTTCTTGAATGCTGCTAACTAAAACCAGATTACTGAATGTATGGAGAAGGACTGACAGAGAAAAGAAGAGAGCAACACCGCACTGGTCCTTTAGCATTAACAACTTTCTCAGTCATAAGACAAGAAAGAGACAAATGCCATCTTAATTTACCACCCCAGGGCACCAACAACCACATAATTCTCCCAAACCCTGTCCCCAGTAATCATCAGTTTTTCACACAGCTTCCATCTAGATGAAGATTAGGTTCTTTATACAGTCACAGAATATCTCCCAGGCTTTTCAGGTTGGAAGGAACCTCAAAAGATAATGTGGTCCAACCTTTCATGGGAATTGAAGTTTCAATCAGTTTATCTAGCATTCTGTCCAAATGCACCTGGAAAACCTCCAGTGAGAGAACTCTACTATGTCCCTGGGGAGCATACAACTGTTTTTACTGTGAAAAATTTCTTATGAAAATATCCTATGTCAGGATGACATCTCCCAATGCAATTTGTACTAGTTTCCCCTTGTCCTCTCCATGTGGTTTTTTTTAAAAAAATGTTCTGTATCTTCTAATGCCCATGATGACATTTAGGATCATACACTCTAAAGGTCTGAAAAGTTCGATATTTATGTTTTTGCTCAGATGAAAGCTGAACTTTGAACAAAACATGGCCCCAAACCTTCCCAAAGCATCAACAACAGGAATTCAAACCATTACAATCCATATTCCATTAATCACAAACTACCTAAAGGAAGAGGAATTCCAGAAATGTCATATAAAATTTCCAATTTATGGCACTGATTGTTCTACAGCACCGTCATATATATCTACAACATAATTTCTTTCTAAAGTAGCAAAAAGACCTTTAGAGAGGTAGCATGGAAGCACATGTGAATTCTGTTTTACTTTCTTTGCCAACCTTTCTCCATAATGTGGCATCATACGGAAAGGCAAGAGGGCAAACAGAAGTATTTAAACCTTTCTTCTAGCTCTTGTTAGATTAAATAAGCATCATTACATGGAACAGTCTTCATGTTACTTTAAATATCCGGTACATCTCCTATAATGCTTTTGTGTAAAATCCTTCCCTGCATATATAGAACTTAGTCATACCACATTACAGCTGGCTATAGACTCTCCTGTGAGCAAACTGCATTTTAAATTGCACAATCCATTTTTATTTTCTTTTTCGTTTGTCACCTTATCACTGGAAGGAAGATTTCCTGGAACTTATTTCATTTCATGTCTGACAATATCAAGCCTGTATTCAATACATTAGTATTAAAATTGAAGATAAGCGATTACAGTTATAAGAAGTCAGTGAACAAGTACAGGAGACAAAAAGCCTAAAGGTTTCACTGTATCTTCAGCTATAAGCTTGTAAGGGACTTCTTGATAAGAATAAGGAAGAGCAAAATAAAAAACTAACAAGGAAATAACTTAATTTTTTGTGTGCAGATATTTTTGATATGATATCATTAATATTGGGTAAATAAACTTGAAATTAATATGTCCTCTTGGTAATCTGACTTCTCACAATAAAGCTCTTTTTGTCCTACTATGGCAGGCACTTTGAGATGAGACACCGATGGGTTTTATTTCTGAGGAATTCTCCTCTTTAATTCTGATTTACTAAATGCCAATTAATATATACAAACATGCCAATAATAAAACATTAAAAGTGGTCAGTGCAAAAACAGTATAGTCTTTATGTCATGTACATTTGTTTGAAAAAAAGTGGAAAAAGAACTTGTCAAAGAGCTTGTAAAAGAGGAAAAAGTACTTGTAAAACCAGTATAAAGCACAAAGGCTGAATATCCTTTTCAGGGCAAAAGCACTCTTCACAACACTAAGGGATAATCTGTAAATATTTAACATTGTTGCAAGCAAAGGAATTAGCAGAATAGCACTCTTTGATCAATACTTGCAGCATTGTGCATCATTTCCAATGGTCATGAAGAGTAAAATTCTGTTTATTGACTAAAATATGCTACACAACATTGAAGCTTAATATAAGGGGTCATGAAATACTCAGTAGAGCAGGAGTAAACCAGTAATCTGATTTTAGCCTAATCAATAATTTCTTGCATTGCAGTAGCACTTGAGGGTTCCCACTCTCATTATTTTCTGGGACCTTTCCAAACCATAGACAAATTCAGTTCCTGAAATCAATAGGTTAAAATATTACATATAGTAAGATGAAATAAATAAACAGAAAAAATGAAAGCATGAGCAGTGAGAAGGTAAAAATCCCCAAAACATTTGTGTTCAGAGATTAATAAGGTGTTCAAATCGTTGTTCTGAATAGGAACCATTTTGCTTTTATTTTTCTAGCTTATAAAACTAATAAGAAAGTGTTCTTGTAGCTTTTATCCCAGTTTCATTTTATACCATGCCATGGAAGCCCAAAAGGGACAGCAAATGGGAACAGAGAAGCCAGACAGAAGTTAGCACTTGCTGTAACAACGCAGGAACCATCCAAGCAGACCAATGCCCTGTCTGCCACAGGAAACTGTCAAGCACTACTTGGGAAAAATCAGCCTGCTCACTCAACTACTCTCTTTTAAATTTCGCGTTCTTCTAGAAGCTGAAATGCCTGTTGACAATATTATTGTCAACTTTCATGCAAAACCCTGCCATACATTTGGCTACAAGGGAAAAGCACAAACAAGGAATTTCACATCAAATTGATTTCTAGTGCTAAGACTTTTCCAAGACAAATTGTTGCAGTCAGCCTGCTCCTCAAACTCAGCTCCCACTCTCCACCCCTTCTGTTGTTACATATAAAATTTGTTATATACTACGAAGTCCAGCAACTTGGACCTGCACAGGGGCAATATGGACTCTGGATTCAGAGTCCATATGAATCTCCTTTTTCTCAATGTTGAACATGGCTAAAATCATCCCATGACAGAATGCACTTGAAAACTGTTCTCACCCACAATGAAAGAGACAGGGCAGGGAACTTTCAGTGCAGGCAACACCAGCTCCCTTCAGACCAACAATATCCCAGGGCAGAGTTCATTTCCCAGAGTTCATAACCTATGTTCAGCAGTGCTGCACACCACTGAATTCAAGCCTATACTCTTTTCTGGAACTAGGTAATCTGAATAAAATTAAATTATTTTTGTTTAGAAGAGATCTTTCCCAATTTTTATTTCACAGCTGCAGTTTTTGTTACTGAGTTTCAAGGAACCAAGGGACTGGACACACCTGACCTAAACGTTTTAGAGGTCTCGTTATGAAATTCAATTTCCTCCCTGGTGGTGGATGCTAGATCATATCCTAGCAAAAAGGAGTTTTGCATGTAACCTCTGAATAAACTTTTATGAAAAGTTTATTTCAACCCCTATTTCTAACAAGAAAAAGGTTCAGTCAAGTAACACCATGTATTTCATTTTTAATTTCATATATTCTACACGTTACATGAGGTTTTTTAAGTGGTACATATCAAAAACGAAATATGAACATCCAAGGAAACCAGGTAGAGGAAACTACATACAATTTTAACTTAAATGTCATTTATTCCCCAAGAATTAATCAGTAAGATAATTCCTTAAATTATCATTTTTTATTTTCAAATATAGACCTCCTTTTTCTCTCAAAGCATTCTGAATTTTCTTTGATTACTAAATTTTTCATATTATTAATGAATGATAACACTTCATGATTGTTTTTAACAATCTGATCCCCCATTGCTACTAACTTTAATTAGGGATCACACATAATCCTAATTATTGAAGACAGATTTTAGAAATTAAATTTCAATGGAGCCACTGAAATAAGAATTCTGATGGATTTCAAGTGCAGTGAGATCTTCCTAATGCAGACAGATCTCAGATCTGAAATGTCATGCACAATTACCTCAGAGACCTTGACTCCAAATCTCCAAATAACTCCAGTATTATGCAAGCTCTCATGTTCCCCCGGCAACTTTCAGGGCTTGTATTCAAGGGAGTACAAAAATTATCCTTCTAGTACTCGAAGGTAAAAGTAGTGGATGAGAGCCATAACTTAAACAGAAATAGGGGGGGGAAAAAAAGTCCCCAATATCCATTCTTACAAATTAAGCAGCAAAATGCAAACTATTAGGAAACAAATACAAACAGAATGCCTCACAGTGTAGACTAACTAAAGATTTCCAGACTATTTTTTATTCGGTACACTGTTTGGGATCTCTCTAATCAGAATAAAACATTCCTCTTCCTGACAATGGAACATAAAGAGACCAGTTTTGGGAACCAGGTTTCTATTGTGATTCCACAGGATATTACAATTGCTCTATCATGTTTATGATGTCATTGCAGCATATTGCTACATCACTCTTCTAAATCAAAATCCCATGTAACATCAAAAATCTTCAAATAAGTAAATAAGGTATTAAAATATTAAGCTTTTCTGCCTTCTCAGGCATGTTGAAGAAATCAGAGTTTGTAGGTCAGGACAGGCAGCCATCAAGTGTCCTCGATACTACGGGACTCACAAGCTCTGACCTCCTCCTCAGGGCTGACCTCCTCCTGCCTATAGAATCATGGAGATCTGGAGCAAGCAGGATCCAGGCAAGAAGAGGCAAGTGGCTGCTCTCCTTTGGATGCCATGTCAGAGGCACTTGCCAAGCTTGAGAGGTAAAGGCAGTAGCTTAAGAAAAGGGACATCTGTAACACCATCTTTGATGAGTCATTTGCAGTTTCCATGTAAATGATGATGGTGTGGAGCCCGTAGAGCCAAACAATGGGGCTGAATATGTGGATATGGACCCACCGTCATCACCTACTGAAATGTGTTTTCTTTCTCACTGTACACTGGCCTGAGGGCTGGTCATTCTTGTGATTTATATATTAATCTCAATATGCAACACAGGTAATCACTAACACTGGTCTGAGCCAGGGTGTGGAATATCAGTGGCCACCACAAGGCCTCCCTGCCTAAAAGGAGGTAGGCACAGGTAAGGTGCTCTTCAATATAGGGGGTAACTACAGGAGTTGTAAAGAAAGCTTAACTGAGCTCTGCACAGAGCACCACAGGTTGGCCTTTGTTTCAGGAAAAATGGCACTAGTGGTTGAGTGGATCACTTGGTTATGTAAACCGTCTTTGCACTAAAATTTGAGTTTATTGTGTAAAAGTGTGATCATCCTACTTTACTCAAATTTGAGAATAGTCACATGTCTATTCTGTGTTCTGCAAGCAGTCCTAATGTCAGGCACTAGATCAAATATATGGCCCTGGTATAGCCAGGGCACTTTCAGATCCAGGTTTGGTTGAGTCAGCTCTTGTGATATGAGGAAAACTCCTGGAAACATTATATACTTTAGAGCATCGAAAGTAAATTAACTTTGTCTAAATGTATCCTTTTTCTTGCCTAGCTGTCCCAATTTATCTTGGCTGACCTTCACCACTTAGGGGGCCACTCATCATACAACTCATTGACTTAAGATAGACAAAATGTCCTATACTCTCTCTTATAAACAGTCCAACATTTCCTGTTCTAAGTTTACATGATATTTGTAGGTATGTGAAATTCATACTGACGTCATATCTTTTAGAAGATCCAGAGGATTTTAGGACATGAACTTGGCATGCGTGTAAAAATTCAGGCTATTCTTAGGATTAGTTGACTGAGAGTCAGATTTGTAGTCTTTTCCTTTTTTTTTTTTTTATGTAAAGGACTTTATGAAACTTTGCTATTCTCAGTTGCTATTCATCTTTTAATATGCAATTATATTTGCAATTGCACACAACTAAGTTTTTTTGTATTTCTGATCTTTTTTTCCTTTGGTTGTGTTAAGTACTGTAGCCTCAGTGGTCTTTTGCACACATTTACCACTGGTTACCATTTATCTTTAAGTAAGGCGGTGTGTGATTAAATCAGAGCTTGACTCCTATTGCCCTGAAGTGAAACAGGGATAAGTGCCTCCTATATAAATATATTTTGCATATAGACATAACTGTTTGTACTCTTAATTCCATGTCTATATATCCAATGGTTACACAAAGACAGACAACATCCAGGATTGAATTCTTAATGGATTATGATAGATATTAAATAAAAGACTTACCCTTATAAAATTCTGTCAAACTGGCATAAGAATTCTGCACGAGTTTCTAGAACATAGAAAACACATTAAAAGTAGAGGCAGAGGTAGAGGCAAGAAGAGATCACTGGTTTCTGCTCAGTAAAGCATGAACTCTGGGTCTTTCACATGCATAAAGTGCTGTCATAGTCCTAAGGAAAACACAAAAGATAGACAGAAAAGTTAAAAATAGTATCTCTGTGGTATCATTTACCAGGGAGACAGAAATTGTGTTCATTAGAAAAGGTTAAAATTTTGTTTGTCAAGATGGATATTCATAACAGTAACCTATTAACTGTACTTTGATAGAACTACTTAAATAAGAGAAATACTTTTTAAGATTTCTCCTATCCAAAGAACTCTTTGTCCCGAATCATTCTGCATGAAGGGAAAACAGTGTTTTTAAGATGATTTAATACCTTCCAATTTCCTGATCAAAAATTCAGGAATCAAAAAGTAGTTTACTAGAATATAAAGATTATGATGGCAGATGAGAATGCATGTAAACACATGCATATCACCATTGATTTGATCTGGTATAAATTTTTTCATATGAAAAAAGATAGAACATACTCATCAATAAAAATAGGCTTACACACTGTGTAGAGGTGATTTTACTCCATTCCACTTAAATTTCTGCATCAGCATGGCATTTTTGCTTGTTATTGACCTATCCCATTTTTGATAGTTGTTTAATTCTGACCAGATGGTTTCAGGGTAAGACAATTTGCATAGGTTGCAAATTAAAGCTCTGTCAGTTTCTAATTTTTAAGTTATTTTATATTTTTTATATTAATTTCTTCATATTTCCTTTATGGAAAGCATAAAATAATTATTTACATTAATGTAAATAATTACATCATTTGCACATCTGAAAAATATTCCATCTGCTGATTTTTGCTTCTGGTTCAGAATTATCATCAGCAAGAGGTCACAAATGCCATTTGATTATTGAATCGGATTTAGGTAAATCTTCCAGACTGTAGGACAGCTGGCACATGCACTTAGCCTGAACACCTGTCATGGGCAAAAGAGTCTTAACTAGAGATTTTTTGCTTAATTTAATTCATTGCCAGCTACACCAACTTCTGATTACTTATTCAGGCACTGGAAAATAATCATAGAATTATAGAATACTGTGAGTTGGAAGACCTACTAAGGTCACCTAGCCCAACCCAGCAGTAATCAGGGTCATCTTCAATTACATCAGGTTGCTCAGAGCCCTGTCCCATCAGACCTTGAATGTTTACAGGAATGGAACATCTACCATCTTTCTGGGTAACCCATTCCAGTGTTTCACCACCTTCATCCCAAAAATTCCTCCCTTCTATCTAGGCTAAATCTACCCTCTGTAGTTTAAAACATTAACTCTTGTCCTATTTCAGCAGGCTCTGCTAAAAAGTTTGTTCCTATCTTTCTTATAGGCCCCCAGTAAGTACCTGCAATAAGGTCATCCCAGAGCTTTCTGTTCTCCACACTGAACAACCCCAGCTCTCAGCCTTTCTTCATGGAAGAGGTATTCCCACCCTCTGATAGTTATTGTGGCCCTCCCTTAGGCCCACTCCAACAAGTCCATGAATTTTGGGAACCCATGAATCTGTTGGGGACCCCAGAGCTGGAACATTACTCCAGGTAGGGTCTCACAAAAGCAGAGTAGAGGGAGAGAATCACCTCCCTTGACCTCTTGGCCACACTCTTTTGATGCAGCCTAGGGTACAGTTGGTATTCTGGGAGTTTCTGGGCTGACATACTTGTAGAAGCCCTTGTTATTATTCTTTGAATCTCCCTTATGAGGTTCAGCTCTATCCGTGCCTTGGCCTTCCTGGCCCCATCCCTACATAACCAAGCAGTGTCTCCATAGTCTTCTCAGGATACTTGTCCCTGATTTCACTGCCTGGGCATTTCTTTTTTGCCTTATAGTTTGACCAGCAGGTCTTGAAAACAGGTCTTGAATGAGCCATGCCAGTCTCTTGCCCTCCTTTCCTGATTTCTTACTCCTGAGGATGGAGAGCTCTTGAACTCTGTGGAAAGTATCCTTAAAGATCTGGCAGCTCTATTCTGCTCCCTTGTCCCTGAAGGCAGTTTCCCAGGGAGTCCTATTGACTAATTCCTTGAACAGCTGGAAGGTTTTTTTCTGTCTGCAGGACCTCAACAACTTCTCCTAGGGATAGTGGTCCTGCAAGCACACTGCTCTTCAGAGTGACAGGCACAAAGGCAGCCTGGGGGAGGAAATGATCAAAAACTTACTCAGTCTAATTGAGCCTGGAAAAAAGTTTGAATATCGATTTGTGGCCCCTTGACCTTTTTGAAATGACATAATTGGCCCTCAGGAAGAAAAAGCTGCACACTGCTGATGTAAATAAAGATTAATTAGGTCCTGACAGAATAGGTTCAATGTTCTCCTAGTTCTACAAATTATTTTGCTTGGCAAGGAGTATGCAGATTAATCTCAGAGTTATTACGATACTTTATAAAATATGTATTGGATTGAGACAAGCAAGGTAGAAATATTAAAAAAAAATTAAATTGTAACCTTTGTTCAAACCTACACATCTGAAAACTTTCTCAGACACTTTTACTAAGAGAATTTTAAAGATGTTCTTAAAAGGTAATTCTAGATTTATTATATAAATAAGACAAAAGAAAAATCAAGCTATAATATTATTGAATATAATTTACCATTAGCAACAAGTAATTTACCATTAGCAACAAGAGATATACCTGATTAATTATTTAATTGGGTCTGCACTATATTAGATAATGCCCAAACTTTATGCAGTAGTGGTTAGAAGAATTTATTCTGTAATAGTAAAAGTTATACATATCATCTTCCTTATGAACAAAAAGGTTCTGATCTGTTGTTTATACTTGATAGTTTCTGATCAAGTGTCAGTCAGTAGATTCTCTACCTCAGGAGCCAGGCCTCTGTGACACCACAATGTTATATCTCCTCAGTAGACAGTCACAAGTGATATGTACTTAAAATAACTTCCTTCAAATGATTGTAATACCACTCATTCATTCAAGTTCGAAAATCTCATTGAATAAAAATCTAAGTCATAAACTTGTCATATAACAACATTTCTCCAGAGGCTCTGCTTCAAACCAGTAGCTCTTCAATACATCAAATGATAGTCATGTCATATTTTCTTTTCCCCATTCAGTCATTGAGATATGACTCTGAGAAAAGGAAGTGTCATAAAGACTTATTTGTTTTAAGCTTTGTCATCTTAAGACTAATTTCTCATCCTCCACATAAACCATCTTGCTACAGATAAAACATAAATAGCTTTATTCTTTGGGAAAAAAAATCTCACTTTACCTTACAGCAATCATTCACAGTAATAACATAAGAGTTGCTGCACATTTTTCTTTAGTAGAGAACCATTTAAAAGTAAATTTGGACCTCAGAACTCAGACTACAAGATTTCAAAATGAATCACCTGAACACCTGATCAGGATTTATAGATGGCAGGAAGAGGTGATCAAAACGGCAGCACCAAGTTTTGGCCAGCTGGATACTGTAGTGCCATAAATAGTTAAAAAAAATTGTCCTGAGGAGGCAACAAAGGTATTTGATGTGATCATTAAAGCTTAGAGGACAATTATTCTCCTTATTAGCACAGCTACACAGCTTTTACACGTCTCTGAAGTATATGGATATCACCATAGCTTTCCTAGGTAACAATACTGAAAATATAGTCACAGTTTAGGGTACAAGCAGCAATAATTGAAAAAATCCAAAGCATTACTACAGACTTTATTTACATTATTAGGCTCAAGATGTGTTTTCACTTCCTTTTTACATTTTCAGCTGTTGCTACTGTAACACAAGTAGTAACTCAGCTATGTCTTAGTAAAACCCTAAATGTTTGTCCTCCTGTAAAGCTGACTGGCCTTGCTCATGGCAAAACACTGTGCTGTCACCCAGCAGCTAAACAAGCCTTTGAAGTTTTCAGAGACTGTTTCTTATCATAATAGTTTCCAGGATTACACTCACATGACAGGTGAGAGCAGTACTATCGATAAGACCTCTTAATCAGTTTCCAGACAAAGAGAAATCTAAGAAAGCCCCACCTGAGGGGATACAAACACCAGGTCAACGCACTGCAGCAAGAAATCTGTCTGCTGACAGTCTTACAGACTTCTACTTTCCCCTAGGACATCACATACTCAGCTGCTCTCAGATCTAAGAAAATGTACAATTCTTATCCACTTCTTCCACTGGAAAAAGAAATAGAGTCATGAAGATTTCTAGTCATTATTTAGAGGTTAACAGGCTATGGTCCAAATCTGTCTTATATACATATATATATATATATATATATATATATATATATATATGCATCTCAGCAAGAACTGTGTACCTGTTTTCGATAGCAAAAATGAGTTTATTTACATAAAGCTTAGGAAATTATTTATTATTAAACAAATTTTGCTATGACAGTGCAGTGCTAAATAACAAATCCATAATTGTTATACAAATGGTTTATATATAGTCGGAAGGTGAGCTTTGGATATTTCACTGCTTTAAAAGCAATTTCCTCTGGGTACACCATAATATTGGGAAGAGATTAGTCTGAATTACCTGGAAGGTGACTCATTTGAGATTCAGGATGCAGTAGAGGGGAAGCAGAGGCATGGCCTTGCTGACCTGTCACAAACAGGGAAATGCTACATACAAGGCAAAGGAATGAAGGGGTAGCTCTGCTCTGTTTCTGAAATAGAGGCTGCAGGCTCAAACAGAGTAAAGTTGGAATGTAATCAAAGTCTGGGTAATCCCAGCAACTGAAAATGTGTGAAGGAATTTGGAGCTGAAAGTAGCTGCACATAGAGCCAAAAGAGCTTTGTTATCTGCTATTAGTGTATGTTCACAATGGAGGACTGGGGTAGAATTCACTGCAATTTAATATCAGATGGAAATTAAATTTTAAGAATCATAGAGATCTATTCAATGTAAAGTGCAATCCAAAGTATTTTGGGATATTTATATCATAAGAAGTTTTTAAAAATATTTCTCCTTTCCTAGTT